AGCCAGGCAAGACCTCCAATGGAGGGATGGGAGCACCAACCCACCCACAAAACCCGAGACTCGAAACTTGTCCCGTCTATAAGATATACAGGATGAGCAGAAATTGAGGGAAAGGCCAACCGATGACTGGCCCACCTCTGACACTATCAATGATATACTCTGCTATACTTCCAGACAGGAGTCTAGCATAACTGTCATCTGAATGGCTTCACCCAGCTGCTGCTGAAACAGGTGCAGAGACCCACAGCCAAACAGTAGGTGGAGCTCGGGGAATCTTGTGGAAGAGGAGGAGGATGGATTGAAGGAGCCAGAGAGGTCAACAGTACCAAAAGAAAACCTACACAGTCAACCAACCTGGGCCCACAGAAATTCAACAACCAACCAAAGAGTTTGCTTGGGATGATACTAGGCCAGAAGTGCAGCTTGGGTCTTCATATGAGACCCCTAACAGCAGGAAGGAGCAGGGGCTGTCTCTGACTCTGTTGCCTGCCTTCAAATCCCTTTCCCCTAACTGGGCTGCTGTATTTGGCCTCAAGTGGAGAAGATAAGCCCAGTTCTACCTCAACTTGATATGCCAAGGTGGGTTGATATCCATGGGAGGTCTTCCTGTCCCAGGGGAGAAAGGGAGGAAGAGGGAGGGGAAGGAGAAGGGAGAAGAAGGGACTGGGAGGAGAGAAAGGGGAGGCTGTGATCAGGATGTAAAATAAATAAGTAAAATAATAGAAAAGAATATTGAGAAAACTAAGTATAAAATAAAGAATACTACAAAAAAAAAGAAAAGAAAAGAAAAGAAAGCCAATCAAAATCAGGCTCACAATGAAGCTAAGGATGACCTTGAACTCCTGATCCTCCTGCCTCGACCACCCAAGTGCCAGGATGGGGCTGCCACGTCCAGCTCTGTTTCACCTTTTGATTCAGCCTGGTGCCACAGTTCATGGCATGGCAGCACCCACACTCAGGGTGAATCTTTGTTCTCACTTACACGTCTCAGGAAACGTCTTTACAGGCACTCGCAGAAGTGTGCCTCCAAGCTCATGCTGCATGGCATCAGGTTGACAGTCACGCTTAACTGCCAGGGAGTGGAGAGGCAGGAGTTAGCAGCCTGTTAGCATGCTTGGCAGTTGGGAGTAGGCAGCCTTACAGAGGGCCAGGGTTCGGCTCTCAGCACTCACATCACAGCTGCCCATAATGCCAGCCCTAGAGGATCCAGCACCCTCTTCTGGCCTCTATGGGTGCTACAGTCTTGTGCACAAATCCACTCACAGACAAGTTTACACATGATTAAAATAAAATCTTTTCTGAGACTGATACTCCAACCAAGGACCATGCATGGAGATAACCTAGAACCCCTGCACCAATATAGCCCATGGCAGCTCAGTCTCCAAGTGGATTCCCTAGTAAGGGGAACAGGGACTGTCTCTGACATGAATTCAGTGGCTGGCTCTTTGATCACCTCCCCATGAGGGAGGCCCAATCTTCCCAGGCCACAGAGAAAGACAATTTATCCAGTCCTGATAAGCCTGATAGTCTAGGGTCAGACGGAAGGGGAGGAGGACCGCCCCTATCAGTAGACTGGGGGGAAGGGCAAGGGAGGAGAAGAGAGAGGAAGGGTGAGATTGGGAGGGGGTGAGGGAGGGGGCTACAGCTGGGATACAAAGTGAATAAATTGTAAGTAACAAAATAAAATTAAAAAAAATAAAATTAAAATCTTAAAGATTGCTCACCAGGATTCTAACTCTCCATTAACACCCCAGTCACCACAGAGCCTTCCAAATGCCCCAGTCACTTCGTCCACAAACATCCTTTCACCCTTGAAAGACAGACTAGGCAGTATGTCTCTGCCCTACTCCAGACAATGCTAAAAACCCACGTGTGCATCCACTGACCATTTCCTAGAAACATTTTCCAAAACCCTGTGGGAGTCTGGGACCACAGCAGCCCTTCTGCTCTTCCTGAGCCTCTCCCACCTAGCCATAGGTCCCCTTGCCATCACGTTTTAACTGTAAAGATCCGAGAGAAGATACCTGTGTCAGGATTAAGACGGCTGGTGACTCCCTCAGGGTCGCCTTGCTCCTGTGTCTTCCTCCTTCAACATCCCCTGGAGCCAGAGCCTGTAGAAGTAATGTAAAGAGCGTGTTCAGGAGCTCCGGCTCTGACGTGGGCACAGGTGCCAACCGGGAGGGCGAGGCTGGGAAGGAAGCCAGGGTAAGCTCTGAAGAACTCACAGCAGATGGGCCACCCTGGGAGGCCGCTGCTGAGGAAGGGTCCTGGGTAGGACAGGACTCAGGAGAGGTGAACATAATCTCCATTCCTCACTCAAGCCGTAACCCCGAGTCACCGGGCCTAGGCTCTTCCCTTCAAGCTCCATGTTTAACCCACCGGTGAATTACGTCACCGTTAACTTTAAAACACGTCTGAAGTTGGCTCGTCTCTACCACCTCGGTAGCTAGCGGCACGCAGTCGGTGCAGTGAGGATTTCACCGACAGAGTCAGAGCCTTGCGTTGTGACAGTACAGAGTGTGGTGTGTAGTAGGTGCTGGGGAAGCAGCTCAAAGATCCGCTGTGGGTCAAAGAAATGGAGAGAAAGTGAGCCAGGAGGGAGGAAGCCGTCCCGACCAGTGTCAAAAGCAGCTGAGTTCAGAACGGTAGGAACTGAAGCCCCATCGGTGTGGCAACACACAGGCCCCGGGAGGCCTCGGGAGGCCTTGGGGAGGGACAGCTTCTACAGGAGGCAGGAGCCATCTGATGGGATGCACTCTCTACTGAGAGCTCCTTCTGGGCCAGACCCACCTCTCCCAAGCAACATCGAAGGACTGAAGGAAGACGCTGTCTGCCTGTCCAGACGAGGGCCGGAGTTTACACTGCCAAAGGTGAGGCACAAGGGTTGGGGGCCCAGGCGCACAACAGGCCAAGGGATTGGTGGGAGCACGGGGAGGGAAGCTATGGAGCAGGAAGAGGGCCATCTCTTCCCTGAGTATGGGAGACCAGGGTGCAGACGGAGGCACTGAGGCAGGCCCAAGGAGCTCACTGGCGGGGGAGGTGGGGGTGGCACACCTCTCAGCCCGGCATTCTGCACGCACAGGCCTACCCTCCAAAGCAGGCCTCCTGCGGCCTGTGGCCTGCAACCCTGGGACCCAGTTTCAGCTGCAGGCGACGACTTTGGTTTGGTGGGACACAGCCTGCATGGCCACGGGGTTCTCAGCAGCTTGGGTCTACAATGCTCCCCAACCTCGACCGGGGGGGGGGCCCAAACAGCTCCATTCGATCTGAGGATGTTCCATTTTTCCCAAGATTCCCACAGGGAAGTCTCGCATCCCATGCTGGATTCCAGCTATTACAAAAATCATGGCTCTGACCAGAAGAGGAGGCAAACTGTTTTTTTTTTTTTTTTTTTAAACACCTACTAAGAACTGGGTGTTCAAATCTTCATACAACTGTCCTAGGACAGTTTGTTTTTGTTTTTCCCACAGATTTTTCACAGAGGGCAAAAAGTAGGTTTAAAGTAACTAGCTCGGAGCCTTACAGGCAGCCAGCAGCAATGCTGGACTTAAACCTTCCTGGTCCAAGTCTTCAACATTTCATTCTTAAAATTCAGCTTGATGGGGGCTGGGGAAACAGAGGCAAAGGCAAAGACCTGGATCCGTGTGTGTATGCCTGGGTGCCGGGTGCCAGGATATGCATGCACAGGTCAGAGGACAATCTGGGTGTCAGCCCTCACCTTCCGCCTTAGAGACTGAGCACCAGGCCAGCTGGGCTGGAAGTGTGTGAGGCTTCATCGGCCTCCGCCTCTCATCTCCCTGTGTGAGGGCTGGCGTCACAGGTTGGTACCACCTGGTCCAGCTTTTGAGTAAACAGATTCTGGAAATCCTAACATACCTGTGTACCACGTATACACGAAAAATTGTCCAGCGCGATGCACGCCTCCAAACCCCCTCTCCAGCATTCCCTCTTACTGTGCCCGCCGCCGCCAGGAAACACCTCGCCTGGCATCATTTTAACCTATCCTCTCACTCAGCTGTCTGGGTGGGCTCACCACGACAGCCATCCTCCTCTGCAAAGGGCACACGGTCCTTCTTAGACCCTGTTTCTAGGAGGCGCTTCTGCTCCACCCAATCCTTAACCTCGACCTCCCTCCCCTCCCCCAGGCCTTTTTCAGGTCCCAGTAATGAGCACTTTGCACTTTGTTCTGTCCTCCCTGGCCCATCTCCTGAGGCCCCGCTGAGTAAGATCTACAATTCCCGGGTTTACTGAGCCCTCTCTGGTCTCCCCAGGGCCTCACACAGCCTGCCCACCACCTCCTTTGGGTGTACTGCATTTAAGCTTTTCTGCCTAAGTGTGCTGTCCGCCCATGGAGACTGCAGCAGCCTCCTTACACACACACCGTCGCTCAAGGGCACTAGGTAAAGACCACTAGGTAGGGCCAAAGAGAAGGCTCAGCAGTTTGGAGCACGGGCTGCTCTTGCAGAGGACCTGAGATCAGTTCTCAGAACCACGTGACACTCACAGCCCTCTGTAACTCCGGTTCTAGGGTCTACGACACCCTCTTCTGGCCTCCAAGGGCACCAAACAGGTGCACGGTGCACAGGCATGCTATACACGTAAAACAAGAATATGAAAGTTAAAACACACACACACACAAACAAACAAACAAACAAAAACACAAAACTGGGCGTGGCTGAACAGCGTGAGGCAGTGAACATCCGAAGTCCACAGAGCAACTGTAGTGCTCCTGAGATACAATTTCAAAGGACTTTCAGGAAGCAGAACTGAGCTAGATAAAGGCAGGACAGCAGCCTTCTAGAAGCTTCCTCGGGTACATCGATGTTCCCCTTTGGGAGGCTATGAAGCCTGGCCCTTGCTAGCAGCCTTCCCAATAAGGAAGAGGAGGAGGAGGGGACTCTGACTAGCCCCTCTCTGCTTTGTCCTGGTCACCTCAGATTCAAAGCCCCAAAACTCTCCCTTAGCTGTCTATTCCCATGTGCTCAAGGACACATCAATGTCCCATCTTCTGCTTTCTTCAAAGGAAGCTCTTTCCACATAAGCAGGCTCACTGAGAATAGGAGCTGCCAGGCACCCGGATAGTCAGCCCCACATCCTGGACATCAGATTTCCTCAGCTTCACTTTAGTCTGCATGGGCCACCAGGCAACCACGCTGGGGTCCCAAGAGCATTGGGAGGAGAAGGCAGGGGAGCTATGAAAATTGGCCAGGCACCAAAGAAGCACCAAACCCTTCCATACAAACAACAGCAGCCCTGAACAACACGATCCCGAGAAAATATGAAGGTGGTCAAGGCATTACTGTCTGCTAAGATGCCTGGAAAGAGATCAAGAGCTACCCAAACCAGGGGAAGCAAGTGGGGGAGGCGGGGGGGAGAGGATGCTCCTCTGGACTTGGCTGAAGTAATAGGAACTCAGGAGGCCAGCCTGGGCTGGATGCAAGGCCAGCCGGGTCACCCAACAGCTTCAAACTTCTGCTGCCAGGCGAGCTGCTTTGATTCTGGTTCTGCATGAGTTAATGTAAGCCTAAATAAAACAAGAAGTATATAAATACCTCCTTCGCAGTGCCTGGCGTTACATAAGGGACCCACTTGGTGTGGCGTCTCTCCCTCCTTCCAGCCACCAGTCCTCTCCCCAGCCCTCTCCTCAGCCCTCACTCATAAAAACAAGCGCAGAAGCCACAGAGCTTGCAAACCTTCCCAGCCAGGTCTGCAAAGGATGGTAGAAGGCGGCGAGGGGAGCAGACAGGCCAGCCCAGGACAGGCTCTAAAGAAGCTCCAGACCTTAGTGATTCAAGGGTGCCTGGGGCCTCACACCTCCCCAGACAGGAAGTTTATGGGAAACATAGAAAGAATACATCCAGAGGCTGGGGATTAGCTCCGATGGAAGAGGGCTTGACCAGCATATAGCCCTGGGTTCCATCCGCAGCACCACGTGAGCTGGACTTAGCAGCGCACGCCTATAATCCCAGTCTTCCAAGTTCCGAAGCAACGGCAGGGTGGCCCAGTTGTAAACTCAGTCACCTCACTGCTGGCTCCACCACCTCCCTACACTGGTTTCCCCACTCCCTCCCCAAGTAAGGTTCCTTTAAAAAAAAAAAATAATGACTCATTTAGGAAGCAGCAAAAACCAAAAACTTCAATGGTAAAGATAAAAAAGCACCAAATTCTTGAAACACCTCCCACTCCCTGTAGGCTTGATGTCGGAGCTGCCTCCCCAGCCCGGCCATGCTAGTTTGGAACTGACGGAATATACAGTTAGTTCTTCTAGCAAAAACACTTCCAGTAAGATCTCTACTTTCAAAGTCTCGGGGTTTTCATCACAGACAAAGACGGCCTCGGGCCTTCAGCCCATTAGCTTTTCCAAAACAGCAATAGGAAATTAAAGATCTGGGCTGGAGAGAGGGTTCACTGGTTATGAGCACTGGCTGCTCTTCCAGAGGACCCAGGCTCCATTCCCAGCACCCACACAGCAGCTCACAGCTAGACGAGCTGACATCCTCACACAGACACTACAACGAGGAGACAAAATAAGCATGTCATAAAAAAAAAAAAAAAAAGGAAATATTGAAGTCCATGCTTTCAGTGGGGTCAAAATCTCATCTGGTTCTCCAGAGGATTCTGAGTTATTAACAAAGGCTGCGGCTCCTGGAATGACAATAGGTTCCTCATTTAAAAAGACCTGGGGCTGGAGAGATGACCTGCTGGTTAAGAGCATATGCTGCTCTCAGAGAGGACCAGAATTCAGTTCAAAGCACCCATGTTGGTGGTCTGTTAACTGCCCCTCTGGGGAATCTGATGCCCTCTTCTGGCCCGGATAGGTACCTGCAGACACACCCACACACTGAACGCAGCACACTTAATTAAAATGAAAACCAGTCTTTTTAGGAAAGACACCCTCTTGGCATTAAGATGTTTACATTTGCTCACAGTATTCAAAGGGAACACGATTATGTAACACTTTGTATTACCCGCCCCATGAACTACTGGAAAGTCCAAATAAAAACCAGGCTAACAGGAACCGTTAAGATGGCCCAAACTCAGGGGTTCCTGATGCTGACTCTGTGTTGTTGTACTTTCTAGGTTCACGGCTTCCACGCCCCAGAATCTACGA